GGGAACAGGATTGGGGGAAGTAGGCGTAAAGGGGAGACGGGGGGGAGGGGTTTTGCCGGCGAGTATTGGGGGAAGGGAGAGGGAGAGGGCGAGGAGGAGGTGGGTACCTAGCCGGTGCACGCCATGGTGCAGTACGGCAAGACGAGCATGTATGTCGACTTCCCCACACTCATGACCCACAACCAGGCGCTCGCCACGGCCGTGCTGGAGGAGTTCTACTGGTGAGAGTTTTGGAGGGAGGGATGGGAATGGGAGGACTTTTACACGCTCATGGCCCACGACAACCAGGTGCTCGCAACCGCTGTACTGGAAGTGTTCTACTGGTGAGAGTTTTGGAGGGAGGGATGGGAATGGGAGGACTTTTACACGCTCATGGCCCACGACAACCAGGTGCTCGCAACCGCTGTACTGGAAGTGTTCTACTGGTGAGAGTTTTGGAGGGAGGGATGGGAATGGGAGGACTTTTACACGCTCATGGCCCACGACAACCAGGTGCTCGCAACCGCTGTACTGGAAGTGTTCTACTGGTGAGAGTTTTGGAGGGAGGGATGGGAATGGGAGGACTTTTACACGCTCATGGCCCACGACAACCAGGTGCTCGCAACCGCTGTACTGGAAGTGTTCTACTGGTGAGAGTTTTGGAGGGAGGGATGGGAATGGGAGGACTTTTACACGCTCATGGCCCACGACAACCAGGTGCTCGCACGTCACTGCCATACTGGAGGAGTTTTACCGGTGAGAGTTTTGGAGGGAGGTAAGGGGGGTTATAGTGGGGGAGAAGGGGTCTTGGAGGAGGGAGTGGTTTTGCATTTGGAACCGAAGGGTGAGGGATTTCTAGCAGTAAGTCGGGGAAAGGGGGCTAAGGAGAGACGGAGGGAACCATAAACTCTACGTTTGTTTTTTGTGTGGATCTTGTTTTTTTTTTCTATTTTTGCATGATATTTATGCGCACATGCATCTGCCGCGTGCTCATGTCTGCTTCAACGTACCTGTGCCATGCATGCTTGCATGGATCATGGATGTGTCTGCACCATGCATGCGTGCATGCATGCAGGTTTGAGCCGTTTCTGCGCAAGGCAGTGCAGATGTTTGTGCAGGTGCACGAGCCCAAGTACGTGATGGACGAGGGCAAACCCAAGGAGTTCTACCTCGCCTTCTACAACCTCCCCGTCATCCACAAGTGAGCCGATTGGATTGACTCAGAGAAACCGTAGGTGTTTGGTCAGGTGTTTGGTCAGGTGTTTGGTCAGGTGTTCGTTCAGGAGCACGAGCCCAAGTAGTATGTCATGGATGAGGGCAAGCCCAATACCTCGCCTTCTACAACCTCCCCGTCATGCACAAGTGAGGCTCCTGGATGCAGGCTTCGTGACATCCAGTCAGCGGTGCTGGGTCAGCTATCAGCAGTCAGCAGTATTGTCATATGGTTATCATATCCCCTCCTAATCCTCTTCCACCCTCCTTTTCCTCTCCCTCCCCCTTTCCAGGCGTCGAGACATGAAGGTTCAGGTGCTAGGCCAGGTATCCAGGGTGATTGGTGTGGTTATCCTATGTTGTCATCCCCCCCCCCTTCCCCCATGCCGTTGCTCCCTTCTAGGCTGAGAGATATGAAGGTGGAAGTGCTAGGCCAGCTATCTGCAGTCAGCGGTGTGGTCGTCCGAACCTCCGAGGTCCGGCCGGAGCTGCTGTACGGCACGTTCCGATGCTTGGAGTGCGGCTCAGTGCAGCGGAACATAGAGCAACAATTCAAGTACACGCAGCCCATCATATGCAGTAACGCAGCGTGCTCTAACAGAGAAAAATGGGCCCTAGAGCGCACAGAGTGCCAGTTTGTGGATTGGCAGAGAGTCAGAGTACAGGAGAACGCAGACGAGGTTCCTCCAGGGTCCCTCCCCCGCACTCTAGACGTGATTCTCAGGCACGAGTTAGTCGAGCAAGCGCGTGCCGGCGACAAGTGCATCTTTTCAGGGACTTTGGTGGTTGTGCCTGACGTGGCGGCGTTGACTCGGCCGGGGGAGAGGCAGGAGGCACAGAGGTCGAAGCAGCAGGGGGACGGGAGAGGGGGGGAGGGGCGGGGGGAGGGGGGAGCTGTTGGGCGGAGGGGGAGGGGGGGGCGGGGGGAGGAGCTAGTGAGGGGGTGCGGGGGCTGAAGGCGTTGGGGTGAGGGATCTGTCGTACCGGTTGGCTTTTCTGGCGTGTTCTGTGCAGTCAGGGGATCAGGAGAAGCAGCTGGTAAATATCAGGGCGGAGGACGAGGAGGGAAGTGCGGTGGCCTCATTTACGGTACGTTGGAGTGCAGTATGATGCACTGTGGTGCAGTGCGGTGTAGTGCAGTAGGGCGGTACAGCAGCCCCAGCATGTTCTGTGCAGTCGGGGGATCAGGAGAAGCAGCTGGTGAACATCAGGGCGGAGGATGAAGAGGGCAGTGCTGTGGCCTCATTCACGCATGCACCTCGCTGCACCTCACTGCACCCTACTGCAGCCATGACCGAAGCGAATGCGTGAATGAGGGCAGTGCTGTGGCAGTGCTCCCCCCTATGAGCGGCAGTCTGTCCCTCCCCCCTCCACCCCCCCTTTCTAACCCCCGAGGAGCAGGAGAGATGGCTCGCATGAGGGCACGTGGCAACCACTCTGACCGGCTGGTAGCCAGCGGGGCCCCCTCAGCCTGCGGGCTTGCTGACATTAACCGAGCAATCCCTTGCCCCTATGCCTCCCCTTCCCCCCAGCCTGAGTAGCTAGAGGAGATGGCTCCCGTGCGTGCAGGCGGCAACCGACAGGAGACTGATGGCTAGTGTGGCACCCTCTGTGCACGCGCATGCTGACATCCCCACTTACTCCTCTCCCCCTCCTCCCTCCCCTTATCACTCCCTCCCTCCTATACCAGCCCGAGGAGAGGGAGGAGATGGCTCGCATGAGGGCTGGCGGCAACCTGTATGAGCGCCTGGTGGCGAGCGTCGCACCTTCAGTGTACGGGCATGCGGACATCAAGCGTGCCATCCTGCTGATGCTGTTTGGGGGCGTGCACAAGAAGACCCATGAGGGCATCAACCTCAGGGGCGATATCAACGTGTGCGTCGTGGGGGACCCCTCGTGCGCCAAGTCCCAGTTTCTCAAGTGAGTGCCTGCTGTGGTATGGTCGTGGTCGTGAGGCCCTCCAACATGCTACGAGGGGACCTCTGTTGCGTCGTGGGGGACCTCTGTTGCGTCGTGGGGGACCTCTGTTGCGTCGTGGGGGACCTCTGTTGCGTCGTGGGGGACCTCTGTTGCGTTGTGGGGGATCTTATGTGCGCCAAGTCCCAGTTCCTCAGGTGAGTATCAGCTGTGGTGTGGTTGTGAGGCGCTTCAATATGTTATGGGGGGGGACGTGCACAAGAAGACCCACGAGGGCATCAACCTGCGGGGGGATATCAACATGTGCGTCGTGGGGGACCCTTCCTGCGCCAAGTTGCGGTTCCTCAAGCGAGTAGCTGATGTGTTTTATGAGATGTCTGTCAGCGTCTATTCCAGGGGTGAATCTGGCTGCCGGACATGCAGGAAACAACATGTGAGCTGTGGGGGACCCTTCAAGCGCCAAGCCCCAGTTCCTTAAAGCCCAGGTCCCAAATTAGTCTAGCAGGCAACAAACTGGGCCCAGTTTGATGCTGACTGCGCTTGCGAAGCACCCAACGAAAAAAAGAAGCAACTCCCCCTTCGCCACAGTGAGACGCAAAATCGAGGTTGAGATATCTACGGTGGAAAATTCGTAAGCAAACTGGGGCCAGTTTGATTCGTGCAGTTTTCGGTGCTGGATTGGGCTTGCCGAACCCAACTTCCACAAAACCATGCTCTCGCTAGTTTTCCAATCGACGGATATAACTGTGCTTACAAGTTGGGACTTCATGTGTCCCTGCGTCTCAGCCGTCAGATCCGCGTTTGGCCCAACTTGATCTCCCCCCAAATCAAACTGGGCCCACTTTGCGTACGAAATCCTGCGCGAAGTGACATGGTTTCGCACCCAATAACACAATTGTTTCTTCCACCCGCCCAGCCCAAATTCTGCCCGTTGACTTGTGTGAACTAATTTGGGATCTGGGCGTTAAGTGAGTAGCCGATGTGTTTTATTAGATGCGTGGCGGTTCTATACGCCACGGGAGCGTGATGCGGGGCTGATAGCAAGCGTGGAGAAGGAGCCCAAGACAGCGTGAAGCTCTGCTTTGAAGCAAGGACTCTCAAATTGTGCCCTCCCCTCACTATGTGTTCTCCCTTCCCTCCCTCCTTCCTTACCAGATATGTGGCTGGATTCTTGCCCCGTGCGGTATATACCTCTGGCAAGTCCAGCAGTGCGGCGGGCCTGACAGCTTCCGTGGTTAAAGAGCCAGAGACAGGGGAGTTCTGCATTGAGGCTGGGGCTCTGATGCTGGCTGATAACGGCATCTGCTGCATTGATGAGTTTGATAAGATGGATATAAAGGATCAGGTGAGTGGGACTGAATGTAGTGAACAGGTTACCACCACCATAGCTGGCGGGCCGATGCTGGTGGTTTATGGCATCTAAAATGGACATCAACGATCAAGCTTGTGAATGGACTGCGTTGCGTTGCGCTATTCACAAGCTGGCCAAGCTGGCACCTGGTCACGCTGCGAAGCGCTCTCTCTCTTCCTGACAAGCATTCTGCACTGCACTCTCTGCTCTTCTTCTCACGAGTGTTCTGCTCCCTCCACTCCCCATCTCCCACTCCCACACACACGTGCAGGTGGCGATCCATGCACCTCCTAACAACACACATTCTTCCTCTCCCTGTTTTTCCCACCCCCATGCGTGCAGGTGGCGATCCATGAGGCCATGGAGCAGCAGACCATCTCGATCACGAAGCCGGGCACTCAAGCCGCTCTCGATGCACCCACCTCCAAGCAATTGTCCGCTCCCTATACATCTCACAACCACACACACCCACATTTGCAGGTGGCTATTCACGAGGCCATGGAGCAGCAGACCATCTCCATCACCAAGGCGGGCATCCAAGCCACGCTCAACGCCCGCACGTCCATACTCGCCGCTGCCAACCCCACTGGGGGCAGATACGACCGCTCCAAACCCCTTAGGGTAAGGGACCCCTTAGGGTAAGGGACTTCTTAGGGTAAGGGACCCCTTAAGGTAAGGGACCCCTTAAGGTAAGGGACCCCTTAGCGTAAGAAACCCCTTAGGGTAGGCCATAACCACTCCTGACCCGTTGCATGAGTTCATCGAGCCACCCTCAACGCACGCACCTCCATCCTCGCTGCTGCCAACCCTACTGGGGGAAGGTAGGACCGCTCCAAGTGCCTTCCCGCCCCCAAGCTCTTCCCCCTCCTCCTCCCCCCTCCCTACCCTCCCTTCCAGAACAACGTGGCTCTGCCTCCAGCCATCCTGTCCTGTTTCGACCTGGTTCACGTTATGCTGGACACGCCTTCACGATCACTCAGTGGCACGCCACAGTCTGAGCGCGCATCAGCACCACTCTGTTCTTGCCCTCTGTTGCTAGCTCCCCTCGTCCCCTCCCCCCTCCACCAGTACAACGTGGCTCTCCCACCAGCCACCCTCTCTCGGTTCGATCTGGTCCACGTTATGCAGGACACGCCGGATCCAGTGCGCCATGTATGACCATTCCGTCGCTCGCCACGACTTGCCCCCTCAGCAGTCTCCCTGCTTCTTCCCCTTCCTGGCCCCCCACCAGTACAATGTCGCACTCCCACCAGCCATCCTGTCCCGTTTCGATCTGGTGCACGTGATGCTCGACACACCGGACCCGGTCCACGACTACTCCGTGGCGCGCCACATTCTGAGCGTGCATCAGAGCCGGGACAGAGCCCTGCAGCCAGAGTTCTCAACCCTGCAGCTGCAGAAATACATAAAGTTTGCACGCTCCATCCGACCAGAGGTATGCCTTCAAAATAGTCGAACATGCATGTGGCTTTGAAATAGTCTGGGAGCATGCAGCAGTCCCAGGCACATTCTGAGTGTGCATCAGAGCCGGGACAGAGCCCTGCAGCCGGAGCTCTCAACCCTTCAGCTGCAGAAATACATCGAGTTCGTGCGCTCCATCCGACCAGAGGTGCGCTCGTGAGATTGCTAAAAGCGTTATATAGCCCTTAGCCTGAACCCTAGCATTAACCTTTAGCCTGAACCCTAGCATTAACCTTTAGCCTAAACCCTAAGCCTAAACTTCTGAGTCCATCTTGCGACCCTGGCTCCCAACCCCCCCCCCTTCTCCCCCCTACCCCCCTCGCTTTCCAAGATATCCTTGCATTAGGTAGGCGGTGTGGTACAGACATGGCAGGACGCCTCCCACCATCAGGTCTCAGAGGGCGCCAAGACCCCCCGGGTAGAGGCATGCGCGTCATTGAGACGGGGTGACGCCACGAGGTCATCTTCTCCTGCCTCCTGCCAAGTCGCAACGCCTTCCCCCTCTCTCTCCCCCCCAGCAGCAGATCACAGAGGACGCCTGTTAGCAGCCTACATGTTGCTGAGACGGGACGACGCCACCCCGTGGACATATCCAGCTCACCCACATACTCGGGCTTCGTGTCCTTTTTGAGAATTCTCAACAATGCTTGCCTTAAAAATGGCAACAATGCTTACTCGGGCAGATGGGATCATGGGAGAATTCATGCTTGCCTTGATGGCTTCATGAACCCCCCTCCCTCTCCCCTACCTGTCTGCCCCACCATCAGATCCCAGGGGACGCCAAGACTTGGCTGGTACAGGCCTACGTCTCCTTGAGACGAGGCGACGCAGCCCCGGGGTGATGCTGAGTCCACCCATTCAATCCTGTAGTCCCCCAATGGGGTCTCCCTGCCTGTCTTTTCAACCAACCCCCCCACCCCCCACCCCTCCCCCCACCATCAGATCTCAGAGGACGCCAAGACCCGCCTGGTGGAGGCCTACGTCTCCTTGAGACGGGGTGACGCAGCCCCGGGGTCGCGGTCCTCGTACCGAATCACGGTGCGACAGCTGGAAGCGCTCGTGCGGCTGTCAGAGGCCCTGGCTCGGCTGCACCTGGACTCACAGGTGGGTGGGTGGGTGTGGGTGGTTGGTAGGCGGGGACTGGGCTGCAGAACAGCCAGCGACAGTGCCGGAAAGGGTGAGCAGGTGTGAGCGAAGACAGCTGGAGGCGCTCGTGCGGCTGTCAGAGGCCCTGGCTCGGCTGCACCTGGACTCACAGGTGGGCAGTCGGTTGGGTGCCGTGATCGTGGGTGCTTTACGAGTGTGAATGGGCTGGGCGTGTTTGTGAGGAGCAGGTGTGGGCAGCGACAGCTGGAGGCGCTTGTGCGGCTGTCAGAGGCTTTGGCACGGCTGCCCTTAGACTCACAGGTGGGTGCAGTGGTCTGGCTTGTAGATAGATACGCACTGATGGGTGAGTGTGATGAGCAGGTGTGAGCTGAGACAGCTGGAGGCGCTCGTGCGGCTGCTGTGGCTGGGCTGCAGTTGGTCTCACAGGTGGGATGCATGACGGCAGGAATGCAATAGAAAGGGACATGAGCAGGCATGAGCAGAGGGACAGCTGGAGGCGCTAGTGCGGCTGCCAGGGGCTCTGGCTGGGCTGCCAGGGGCTCTGGCAAGGATTCACTAGAACCTACAGGAGAGTGGGAGAGGTTTGATGGGCATGTTCAGGGGGAGGATTTCGGTTCTTAACGATTTGGGACTTTGGAAATCGTGTTTAGTTTCTGTTGCAACTGATCTCATCATCCCTGCTTTCCCCCCATCACGCTATTTCCCCCTTTTGCCCCATTTCACTCCATCCCATGTGTGTGCGCTGTGCACTGAACAACCAATCAGGTGAAGCCAGCTCATGTGCGCGAAGCCAAGAGGCTGCTGAGCACATCGATCATAAGGTGAGCTTTGACTTAGATGAGACGTCTCAAAAGTCAGCACATCGATCATCAGGTGAGCTTTGACTTAGATGAGATGAGACGTCTCAAAAGTCAGCACATCGATCATCAGGTGAGCTTTGACCTGGATAAGACTTCTCAAAAGTCCGCACATCGATCATCAGGTGAGCTTAGAGAGGTCTCAAAAATCAACACATTGATCATTAGGTGACTTTTTATTGAAACGTCTGAAAGATCCGGACGTCGATCATGAGGTGAGGTTTGAGGCATCTCAAAAATCCGAACATCAATTATCAGGTGGGTTTTGAGACGTCTCAATCAGCACGTCCATCAGGTGAGTTGGTTCAATATTCTGAGGCACCTATAGCCACATAGTGCGGTCCTTTCTGTAAGGTGCGTTTTCTGTCCTGTGCAACGACCGTTGTTGACACCTGCTGACCCCTGTTGACCCCTGTTGACCCCTGTTGACTCCTGTTGACTCTTATCACAGCATTGACAGCCATGACGTGGACTTGGAGGACGAGGGGGCGAATGAGGAGGGGGAGGAGGGCATGGAAGACATGCCGTTTATGATGGGGGGGGATGATGGGGGCGATGGGGGAGGGGGAGGGGGAGGGGGTGGGGGAGGGAGAGGGGGAGGAGGGGACGGAGGCAGTGGGGATGGTGGTGGCGCAGGGGGGAGAGGAGGAGCAGGAGAAGAGGCATCAGGAGGAAGGGAGGGCATGGAGACAGATGGGAATGGGCATGCAGGGGAAGGCGATAGGAGTAAAGAGGGTGAGGCAGGGGTGGGGGGGCATGATGAGGCCATGCGAGAGGGTGAGGGGCAAGGGGCAACGGCCAACGGAAAGGCCAAGGAAAGGGATGAGGAGGAAGGGGACGCAGCAGAGGGGAGCCAGAAGAAGACGAAACCTGCCGCCCCTCTGCGAGTGCCGTACGACAAGCTGCAGCGAGTGACGGCGCTCCTTGTCACGTATATAAGACAAAAGGAGGCGGAGGAAGCTTCCGAGGAAGCTTCACTTGCAGCAGATGAACCAGCCACTGCAGGCGAGGGTGGGGACGAGGGGGAGAGGGGAGGGGATGAGGGACGAGAAGCAGAGGAAGGGGAGGGGGGAAAGAGGAAGAGGAGGCGAGTGGAGGGGGTGTATGGGGGTGTGGGAGGGGGGGGTGTGAAGCAGGGCGATGTGATGCGGTGGTACATGGAGCAGCAGAGCCAGGCCGGTGCTGTGGACTCGGTTGGCAATCTCTTGACTGAGTTCCGAGTGCTGCGATCGATCATCCAGGTGAGAGGCTCGCTTGTCACTCTGTGTGGGCACGGTTAAGAGGATAGCAGGGAGGAGTGTTGCAGGGGGGTGTGAAGCAAGGGGATGTGATGTGGTGGTACATGGAGCAGCAGAGTCAAGCAGGCACCGTTGACTCTGGGCAATCTGCTGTCCGAGTTCCGAGTGCTCCGATAGATCATACGTGTTAGAGGCTTGCTGAATAGACTGTGTGGGTCGTTGTAACAGGATGGCTGGGAGGAGTGAAGCAAGGGGGTGTGGAGCAGGGGAGGTGATGCGATCCATCATACAGGCGAGAGGCTTGCTGGATAGACTGTGTGGGTCGTTGTAACTGGAGAGCAGGAGGGCCCACTTTGGCAACCTTTGAGGCGCCTAAAAAGTAGACTCCTCACGACTGTGTGGGTCGTTGTAACAGGAGAGCAGTAGGGCCCAGTTTGGCAATTTTAGGGCCCAGTTTGGCAACTTTAGGGCCCAGTTTGGCAACTTTTTTGCTTTGGTGGTGCTGTTCTTTCATTCTGATTGTTGTTTCTGATGTGGCAGCATCTGATTCGTCGGGAGGGTGTGCTGCTGATTCTAGACGACGGGACAACGGCCGTGGAAGCTGCTAAGAAGCAGCGGGAGGATGCAATTGCTGCTGCAGAAGCAGCAGGGGAACCACTTCCGACTTTTGACAAACCTCTGCCCACGGCCCTGGAGGAACGGGTGCTTGCTGTGAACCCCAACTATGTCCAAGAATAACTTTTGAGTTAGGACTCAACATTACTTTCGACAAGCCTGCCCACGGTCCTGGAGGAACGGGTGCTTGCTGTCAAACCCAACTACTTTCAAGAATGAAGCATTCTAATGACTGCTGCAGAAGCAGCAAACAGACCACTCCCGACTAGGGAGGAATGGCCGCTTGTCCCAAGTATGTTCAAAAATAAGCTCCCGCAGCTTTAGTAGTGCTGTGGTCAAAGCAGCACCGGGTTTACATACCTAATTAGGAGTGCCAAGGTTCTGCTAACATCCTGCATTTCTATACCGGAGAACGGCTGAAGGTGATTTGGAAGACACTAACACATGGGTTGCTTGCTTTGTTCCTCATGATCTCTCTTTTTGGCATCTATGAAAGTTGTCATGCAATCTGGTCACTAGTGTTCTGCACTTCTGTTTACACATTTTTTCACATGGTACGCTAACAAGAAAACGCGGGACAGAGACAAACGCGTACAATTTCGCCCTCATCTTTCTGCCCCTGCTTGACCTATTCCCCCTTTCCCGCCTCATTTCCCGCCGCTGTGCTCTGAACCTGAGACGCAGGCGATCCCTTAGCAACTTCTCCGCTCGTCTTCGCCGTGAAGCTCTGTAGAGCCGCTGCGTCGCCGCCGGTTACCTTGGACGGCGCAGCCGCCGCTCGCTGCGCCGCGGCTGCGGCGGAACCCTTCGCCACCGCTCCGCCGCCCATTTTCGCGGAGGAACTCTGGATCTGGGACGCAGTCTTGCCGGAAATGGGGGCGCTCTTACCGCCGCCGCCGCCGGTTTTAGCGCCGCTGCTGGCGCTCTTGCCTCCGCCTCCCCCTCCGCCTTTTCCTCCGCCCTTGCCGCCGCCGCTGCTTGCGCCCTTTCCCCCGCCTCCGCCTCCCCCACCCTTGGCCATCATCCGAACGTTGAGGCAGCCATGACAGGCCGCGATTCGCACGACAGTCGTCATTTCAGGATGTCGAGGTAAGAACACAGGACGTGCTGAGAGTATCAAACAGGAATAGCTCGACCGCGGTTTTGAAAACGATCGTCGGGTCTTCTGCGTAGGAATGAAAAATACCAGCACCTTTATAAAAAGAATCGCGTGCGAGAAGAATCCTCTCTAGCGAGGGGCGTCGTTCGAGTTCCAGTTACAGGCTTCAAGCGAACTGTCACGTGAAGGCGACTCGCACGACGGACACTGCTCGGGTCGCGGATGCGACAGCGGGTGTGTATTGTCTCCTTTCTGGAACTTCTCGAGAACGTCTCGCACGGGTCCTACAGCGGGTATGTTTGGACTCGTCATGTCGCATGACCAAGCCGTGCTCATGGCGTGAAAAGGTAATTCCATGCGAGGGTTAAACATATCGGGTCGTACATTATTCTTGCACGATGGCTTCACAACATTTGCACTCGCATCGCACGGCATGCGGTTAGCTCCTGCATGGTGTTGGTTATAATACGCGGTCCGGTATAGCTGTTAGCTTTCTAGGTTTGCTGTAAGTTGGAAGTTGATGCTGGCTTGATGATTCCACATAATGGAAGTTGGGGTCGCATTGCATGCCATGGCATGGCATAGGCTTTGCCCACATTCAGTTGCAGCCTTTATACCCGTTATAAAGCTAATAACCAGAGCAGCATCGGCAACCCGTTATGAGAGTAAGAATTTGTACTCGGTTGAAGTTGGCCACATACAACTTACATATTGCACCACACATGTCTCGAGGCAGTCTGGCTTGAGGTCAGAGTCAATTATCTTCGAACGGTGCTCATAAAGCAATCATACGATTGCAATTGCCCGTGCATACTAAATACAAATCCCATATCACCTATCACACCTTTAATTACACAGCCAGCCAGAACAACACAGGCCGCACCGTAAACAAAATATCGCACTCTCATCCTTACTTGTCGTTTGCCGCAGCCTGGCTCTGAGCCTCCGACGCAAACGAACCCTTCTCAACCGCTCCGTAAGTCGTCGCCGTGAAGCTCTGAATCGTCGCCGCGTTCTGCGATGTCACCTTATACGGCGCATCCGCTGCGCGCTGCGCCGCAGCCGCGGGGGAGCCCTTTCCCGCTGCGCCCTGGCGCGCAGCCTGACTCTGAATTTGCGCAGCGGATTGTTGGGAAATCCCGCCGCCCTTTCCGCCGCCACCGCCGCTCTTCCCGCCGCCACCGCCGCCCTTGCCTCCGCCACCGCCGCCCTTGCCTCCGCCTCCGCCTCCACCGCCGCGGCCTTTGCAGACCGGAGTGAGGCGATAGGTGGAGAGCGGAGCCGGAATCCGAAGAATGGCCGCCATAGTGCTAGAGCGAGAGGTGCTTGCGGGCGGCAGGTGAAGGAAAAGAGGATGCAGGCTTCGGCGGTCCTCAAAATTGTCCTCTCGAGCACTGCACGAAGTGGCGAATGATGACCTTTTTGAAGGCAGACGCGAGGGAGCAGCAGAGACTGCTTGGCTCTGGCTGGGGGTACAGGCGCCCGTTGGATGGCGCATCTCGATTGGCGGAGCGGGGGATGAGGGGGAAGGGAAGGGGAAAAAGGGATTCGGTAGGTTTTAGTGGGTTGGGGTGGGGTGGAGAGGGGAGGGGGGTGGGTGGCGATTTATTGGAAAGGGCGCACTGGTCAGGGAAGGGGGGAGGGAGGTGGGAGGAGGGGGAGGGCTAGGGGCGAAGCCGACAGCTGAACTCCAAATTTCTGCATCAAAGCAAGAATTCCAGGATATATTCAATCTGGTCGGGTTGGTTTGGGCTAGGTTGGGTTGGGTGACTCGCACTGTATCGGGTCGCTTGGCGTCCGACTCAGCATGAGAGCATTACACGTCGATAGGAGACAGATTGCTGAATATCTCCCGAAAATGGAGGGTATAGAGGCGCAGTGATTCGTCTGATTGAATGCCAGACGGTTGGAATCTCGACCAATCGAGTTCCGCAGGCAATTACACCAATAAGGGCATTGCACACAACAGAAGGTCGAGAGGTGGGACGCCAATAAGAGAATTACATGAAATGTAACAAATGTTGACATTGCGATGCGAATACAGATCATACGAGGTGCAACTACAAAAAGTGCAACTATTCTTGTAAACGATGGGCCATTTTTTCGCTTAATGCACTACAAGATGCTTAGCGGAGTTTGCGTTTGTCTAAAACAATATGTACTACGAGCAAGTGTGGTCTCTTTTGTTGGCTGAACACATGACGCGAGCCATCAGGTCCACTGTAGAAGAACTAGCATGACATGCACAAGACAACTACCTGACCACAAGGTCTAAGGCACTTCGTGCAAAAAGAATTCCAGCCAAAAACCCAGCCCTGCTACGACCTAGTTCCCCTGGTTATGCGCGGCCATGCTCTGAACCTGTGCCGCAGGGGATCCCTTCGCCACTCCCCCAGATGTCTTCGCAATGAAGCCCTGCAGTGCTGCAGCATCGCTCCCGGTTACCTTGGACGGGGCAGCCGCAGCTCGCTGTGCCGCAGCAGCGCCGGATCCCTTGGCAACCCCGCCTCCCCCCATGCGGGCGGCCGTGCTCTGAATCCCTGAAGCGGTTTTCCCTGAGATCCTTCCGCCATGACTGCCGCCGCCACCGTGAGCACCACCCCCAGCGTGTCCACCGCCGCCGTGAGCGCCCCCGGCGTGTCCGCCACCTGTAGCATGTGCGCCCCCGCCAGTATGCCCGCCCCCGCCAGCGTGCCCGCCCCCGCCGGCGTGTCCGCCCCCGCCAGAGTGTCTGCCTCCACCGGCGTGCCCGCCACCGCCGGCGTGTCCGCCTCAGCCATGGCTTCCTCCGCCGCCGTGGCTACCGCCGCCGTGTCCGCCTTCGCCTCCGCCACCGCCGCCCTTAGTCATGGCGTAATCACAGGGTTCGATGATCGGCTGCGAGTAAGGTAGAACGAATGCCGCTGACGAGAATGCTCGAAAGTGGGTCTCCAAGGTGTGCGAGAGCAGGGCCTGGCTGCCTCCTGGTGAAGTGCGAGATATCTTCAGAACAACGGGTTTTTCAAGGCAAAAGAAGGCTCCGTGTAGGGTGCTGGGTCTTCCACATTCGAAGCGCGGCAACCCGAATCGCCATTGAGATTTCAAGCGAGCCGCATTCATCGATGCGCGACTCTTGCTCGATGCGCAGATAGAGAAAGCGAACCCTTTCACGCATGGGAGCAAGGTATTCACGTGAACGTGGGTAACTCTTCGACTGGTGTCGCGCTGCTATACATTTCGTGAGGAGGCTGCTCCTGCATGATGTCACCTGCTAGCAGCCGTGAGCGCTAAGTCACCGCGCGTTCATGATGTCGCGCTGCTATACATTTCGTTAGGAGGCTGCTCTTGCATGTTAAAAAGCAGCCGCGAGCGCTAAGTCACTGAGCTTCCAGGACGCAGGGACCACCAGCAGGTTGAGGCTGGACCACTATTGAATCTATACGATAGCTCTCGCCATAGAATCTCGAAAATGCTAGCTTGCATGAGATATGGCACGAAGGTCGGCTGTTGCATGGCATGGTGTCGGCCCGCTTGACGCGAAGCCATGGCGAGCACACTTTCCGTATGAGAATAGAGAGCGACGAATGAGGGGTGAACTGAAACCGAACCTATGTTCGGTTGGGAGGGTGGGACCACTATACTGTAACTCTGAAAAGAAAACGCGTGGTAGGGAAGGATGGCGGAGCGGGATTTAGGGCGTGTGGAGGCCATGAGAGAAGGGAGGGAGGGAGCGAGGGGGAAGCACAAGAGTTACAGTAGTTTCAAGGTTGGGTCGGGCCTGAAACCCGTTCGATTGATCGCGGATCTCGGATCCGACGGTCAGTTTCGGTATTGTTGTAGGGTCTCTCAATACAGCGTCAGAGTGGGCTGGATGCCAGTCTTCAGTGTATTTAAAACTACAATTAACAAACCTTACCTACAACTCATACCTTGATCACCCATATATGAGCGTTGCCATCTACCTAATTAGTAATTCTAGTGCCTTTCCGTGCTCAAACCACCCAGATTCCACATATAACCGCACTCAACCATGCTATATGCTCCACGCATGTTTCATGGCTCGTGTAGGACATGCAAGGTACCACATTTCTTCTTTACTATCCCACCATATTCTCAGAGAAACCGGGGGACAAATGTTCCACAACAGAAGGGCATATGACGTACATTTCTACTTTCTTCAGTGTAGGAAGCAGAGTGCTTATGATCAATTCTAAGACAACACCACATAGTATGAACTACTCAGTACTGGATCTGCACCTAGGTGTAGTGCTTTTGGATGGAAATTGGTTCAGAAATTTCTCTTTAGTCACCAAGTAGCAAGCAACCCAAGCACCGAAGTTGAACGAAGCAAGGCTATTTCGCAGCAAAGGCTCTCGCCTTGCCCTGTTCCGCGCCGCGACCAACTCTACTCTCCCTGGTTACTAGCGGCCGTGCTCTGAACCTGCGCTGCAGGCGAACCCTTCTCTACCCCTCCGCCTGTCTTCGCAGCAAAGCTTTGGAGTGCCGCTACATCCTCCTCAGTCACCTTAGACGGCGCGTCTGCAGCTCTCTGCGCCGCAGCCGCAGCGGATCCTTTAGTTACCCCGCCGCCTCCCATCTTTGCAGTTGCGCTCTGAATCTGAGAGGCCGTCTCCTTGGAAATAGCTCCGCCGCCGCCATTCCCGCCGTGCGCAGCCGCCGCCATGCCCCTTGACCATGCGAACTTGAGGTAACCGAGAGAGGACGCGAATCTGGTGCCGGTCGCCATTTCAGATGTGTGCAGAGCACGAAACACAAGACGGAAGAAAACGTCGGACAAAAGATGTCGTTCGTTCGATCAGGAGGTGGGCACGACTTTGGAGACGGAAATGAGGTAATGTGAGCATTTTCTAGGCAGAAGCAGACGATACCGTAACAGCGCAAAGCGCTGGAGATGCGGATGACCGCGCGACTCAAGCTCGGGGCACAGAGGACGCCGCGGGAAATGCCTTTGTCAAACTGCGTGCTGATGATGCCGTGGAGATGCGCGACGCGCGCGTGATCATTTGCCGCAATCGACGCATGTGGACAGGTAATCCCGGCGGATGTGTTCGCCGTCTGACTCGTGTCATGCTAGTATGCTTTCTGGCAAAAGGGTCGCATGTTGAAGCCTAAAGCGATGTGTCACTGAGAATTAGCGGAGCAGGGACCACCTGCAGCATGAGGTTGGACCGCCGGCGGGGGCGTCGGTAGTTTGTCGCTGAGACATACATTGAAGATATCGCTATGGCCATGGAGATTTCGAAGGTGTGAATCTGCACGTGATATGACTCGAAGATGGCTGTTGCATGGCATCGTGCATCGAAGCAGCCATGGAAGCCACACCTTTCCATTGGCGGCATGAGAATAAAGGGGGAGGGACGTAAAGGTGAATCTAATGTAGGAGGCTTTGCTGGGTCGCACGAGAAATGACGGGAGAGGGTAGGTAGGTAGGAGTAGTGGACCCAGATTTAGGGCGTGAAGAGGCCATGTGGGGAGGGGAGTAGCGAGGGGAGGGAAGCACAAGAGTAAGCGGTGCACGAAAACTTCGGGTTGGAACTTGGAACCATGACGCTGGCAACACGAGAAGTACTGGAGCCTGGAACCCGTTCGATTGATTGCAAAACTCGGATCCGACGGCCAGTGGTTCGTATCGATTAACCGCCTGTAGTGCGATGCAAAGTAGGTTGGATGGCGGTCTTCAGCATATTTGTGATACTAAGGGTTCTGTTACATTCGTTCTCAACTAAACCCTTTCATTTTGCTACTCGTTATAAGGTGTAGCAGGTTCTGTAAGATTCCAATAACAAACAACACTGGTATTGTCGGGTGATCAGCAGACAGCGGGCCAGCTCACTCAGGATAATTCTGGAGCCTCGGGTCTGACCCGAGGGTGCTGTCAGAAGACCCGCGGTGGAAAAAAATGCCTTGGGTCTTGCGACTCTTGACGGTTGTTTGACTGGATAAGCACGACTAGCTGACAGTTTACATTGGCGCGCACTGATGCAGAAATGGAGGGCTAGACGTCGTCCGCCAATGCACTGTCTCAATTCGCTTTGGCGACTCACTTTTGCGACTATTGATGCAGTTTCGCTGCTGCGCCGTCAGGATCACTAGACCCGCAGTTAGGTTGTGACAGCCCGGGGCTCCTTCGGCCGCGGGTCGACCTCGGGTCTGACACTCGATCCGGAAGTACCCTCACCAATCCGCATACAACCGGCACCTTCAACCGTACACCGATGATATCGATGCCAGCAGCCCAGTAGTGTCTATTGATGGTGTCGTTGAAGCTCTGCCGTTGCGCTATCGGCCCCTTACGTCCGGCTAAAGCAGATAGAGGCAGCCTACTCGTGTTTATTCATGATGCCATCGTAGCCTGTGGAAACTAATGACGTTCAATTGATTGCGAAACGGAGATGAGTAGATATCGTGTTCATTTATGAGGCCGTTGTGTAGCTGGTGACGAAATGAAATGACGTCAAACGGCGTGTGAAATGGAGCTCCGTGCTTCATGACGAGGAGGAGCCAATCGTGATCCTCTTAGTTGCTCCTCTTAAAGCTCAATTAGTGCTCCTAGCGCGTTAACTTTCCTCGGAAACTACTCCCCATGCCGAAAAAGAACCCCAAGTCGAAACGCGCGGCGGCGAAATCCGCCGCGCAGCACGCCGAGGATGACGAGCCGCCGTCCTTATCCATCGCGGCGGTCGCGCGCGCCGCGTCCGAAGCCGTGGCGGCAGACCTAATGTCGGCGGCAGAATCCATGTCTGCCGATCGACTGCGCGCCGATGGCGTCATCTCCGCTCTCCCCGCAATCTCCGTCTCCGTCCCCGGCGGCGTCGCCGCCGCTTCCGCCGCGAATGACGGCGCCGGCGTCGCCATCGCTGCCGGTGGCCGATCCAGAAGCCTGTCCGTCTCGCCTGCCGGTAGTCCGTCAGCCATTGCTGCCGCCGCGACTGCCGCTACAGGAGTTGGTTTCACGGCTAAGAGTAACCTAGCTTCCAGTCCCCGTAGCGCCAGCGGCGGCGGCGGAGGCGGCGGAGGCGGCGGGAGTGGGGGGGGGACGGGGAGGAAGCTCCGTGTGGGGCGGCAGCGATCTTGGCTGCCACGTGGCAGCCCGTCAGCGGCGCAAGCAGCGTCAGCGAGCTCGCCGTTTACATCGAGTGAGGAACTTTACCAGGAAGTTGCGATGGCTCTTGGGGTTAAAAACACAGAGCAGGTGTAGAAAGTTGTAATGCAGGTGGATTTTTTTTCCCCTTGCTCCCCTATGCCCCCCCTTTTTCTCCCCCTTCTCCCCTTCCCTCCAGCCCCCAGCCCCATGTGTAGAGTCCACCTCTCCACGCTTTTTGAAATCGCCTTTTCCTTCCTCCTCCTCCTCGTCACCCTCCTGCTACTTTCCTGAGTCACTCCCCTCCTCCATATCTCCCCTCCTCCTTCCCCTCTCCCCCCGCTGACCCATTCCCCTCCCCCTCCCTCCCCCCCCACCTTCCCTCCAGCCCCCTGGCCCTTGTGTAGATTCCCCCTCTCCACGCTTCTCGAGATTGCCTTTTCCTTCCTCCTCCTCCTGTCACTCAACCCTCTTCTTACTTTCCGTAGTCACTCATCCTCTTCCTCCGTATTCCCCCCCACCTCTTCCCCCCTCCCCCTCCCCCACCCCGCCCCCTTCCCCTCCCTCTCCCCGCACTCCGTCCCCCCCCTCCCTCCAGCCCCCTGGCCCATGTGCAGATTCCGCCTCTCCACGCTTCTCGAGATTGCCTTTTCCTTCCTCCTCCTCTTCGTCACCCTCCTGCTGCACCGGGGGGGCTGCCTCTCCCCCTCCTCCCCCGCCTTCCCCCACTGCTGGCGCAACCTGGGGGTCTCCCTCCCCCCATCCCTCCGCCCACCCCTCCGCTCTGCCCTGCAAGGGGGAAGAGAGGGGGCAGGAAGGGGAGCGCAAGGAGAGGGTGGGGGACGAGAGAGAGGAGGAGGGGAAGGGATGGGGAGGAGAGAGCGTGGGGGAGCGCAGGGGGTGGCGGAAGGGGCGGGGGGGAGAGGGGGGAGTGTGAACATATTAAGAGAGGGGGACGCGTCTATACTAAGAGTGCTGATACCTGGGGGCGGGGGGAACAGTGAGGGGAGCAGGGGGGAAGGGGGGAGGGGGAATGGGGGCAGGGGGGGGGAGCGGAGGCTGCTGCAGCGGCTGTGATGATGGGGCGGGGGGGGGAGGAGGGGGAGAGTGGGGAGGGGGGAGGCAGGGATGAGGGAAGGTCGGATTTACAACAGCCGGCAGTATTGGAGCATCCAGTCACAGGAAATGGCGAGCCAGGGAGGGGTGTGGGGGGAGATTCAGGGGGGGAGGAATGGGGAGGTCAAGCGGAAGGGGAGGCGGAGCATGGGGGAAGGAGGAGGGGGGACGAGTGGGTGCTGAGGCCTGACGAGAGGTTCATGTGGTTCGCCAGCCACGGCGGATTTGGTAACCAGGTGGGCGAAACAGGGGCTTTGGTAACCAGGTGGGCGAAATAAGGGGTCTTAGGTACTTTGGTGGACAAAATTTGGTGGCTTTTGTGTAACCAGATCAGCAAAATATGGGGTTTTGTATTGTTGCTGGGGGGGGGGGGGGGGGGGGGCAAGTGGGTGCTTTGGCCTGGCGAGAGGTTCATGTGGTTCGCCAGCCATGGCGGATTCGGTAACCAGGTGGGCGAAATATGGGCGTGGGTAACCAGATGGGCGAAACCCGTGGGCTTTGTTTCTTGGAGGTGGGATGAGGGGGTGCTTCGGTCTGGCTGAACACTGATCATCCCTTCGAACCTCTCGCACTTTGCTCGTTCCCCCCTTGCCCCCCTTATTAGGTCATTCAACTCAAGCCCCCTTATTAGGTCATTCAACTCAAGTGGTGTGGGGCCTTAGATTAGCTGGTCTTTTGAGCCGCACTCTGATCATACCTCCCAAGCGCTCGCACTTGCTCATTCCCCCCTCGTCCCAGTCTCAGGTCAGTCAGCTGGTGTGGGCCCTGTGACTAGCCGGTCTGCTGAGCGGCATGCTGATCATCCCTCCCGAGCTCTCACACGTACTCTTCTCCCCCCTCGTCCAAATCTCAGGTGATTCAACTGGTGTGCCTCAACTGGATTTTTGAGGCGCCTCAATTGGCCTTCTGTTCGGATCGAATCCTATGTTTTCCCATCTCCCCCCTCGTCCCAACCTCAGGTCATTCAGCTGGTGTGGGGCCTTCGATTACCTGGTTTTTAAACCGCACTCTGATCATCCCTCCCGAGCTCTCACACTTGCTCCTCTCCCCCCGTGACCCCTTTCTTAGGTTATTCAACTGGTGTGGGGCCTTCGATTAGCTGGTCTCTTAACCACACTCTCATCATCACTCCCAAGCTCTCGCACTTTGCCTCCCCTTTCGCACTACCCTCCACAGGTGATTCAACTGGTGTGGGGCCTTCGACTGGCTGGTCTCTTAAACCGCACGCTGATCATCCCTCCCAAGCTCTCGCACTTTGCCAAGTCGTCGGGAATTGGGCGCTGCGACCGCAACCCCACCAAGCCGGAGAGGACGAGGCACGATGCATGGGGGCATTATTCCGACATGATGCGAGGAGGGAAGGTGAGAGGGGGGAAGGTGAGAGGGGGGAAGGTGAGAGGAGGGCAGGGTGGGGAAATGGGGATGGTAGGGGGGGAGTGTAAGTTGGACTGTGCTGCAAGCAACCCCACCAAGCCGGACAGGATGAGGCACGATGCATGGGGGCACTATTCCGACATGATGCGAGGGGGGGAGGTGAGAGGGGGGAAGGTGAGAGGAGGGAAGGTGAGAGGAGGGAAGGTGAGAGGAGGGAGGGTGAGAGGGGGGAAGGTGAGAGGAGGGAAGGTGAGAGGAGGGAAGGTGAGAGGGGGGAAGGTGAGAGGAGGGAAGGTGAGAGGGGGGAAGGTGAGAGGGGGGAAGGTGAGAGGAGGGAAGGTGAGAGGAGGGAAGGTGAGAGGAGGGAGGGTGAGAGGAGGGAAGGTGAGAGGAGGGAAGGTGAGAGGAGGGAAGGTGAGAGGGGGGAAGGTGAGAGGAGGGAAGGTGAGAGGGGGGAAGGTGAGAGGGGGGAAGGTGAGAGGAGGGAAGGTGAGAGGAGGGAAGGTGAGAGGAGGGAGGGTGAGAGGAGGGCAGGTGAGAGGAGGGAAGGTGAGAGGAGGGAAGGTGAGAGGAGGGAAGGTGAGAGGAGGGAAGGTGAGAGGGGGGAAGGTGAGAGGAGGGAAGGTGAGAGGGGGGAAGGTGAGAGGGGGAAGGTGAGAGGAGGGAAGGTGAGAGGAGGGCAGGTGAGAGGAGGGAGGGTGAGAGGAGGGAAGGTGAGAGGAGGGAAGGTGAGAGGAGGGAAGGTGAGAGGGGGGAAGGTGAGAGGAGGGAAGGTGAGAGGAGGGAAGGTGAGAGGGGGGAAGGTGAGAGGGGGGAAGGTGAGAGGAGGGAAGGTGAGAGGAGGGAAGGTGAGAGGAGGGAAGGTGAGAGGAGGGCAGGTGAGAGGAGGGAAGGTGAGAGGAGGGCTGGGTTGGGACATGGGGGTGGTCGGGGGAGGGTAAGTGTAAGTTGGACAATGCCGCAACGCTACCAAGCCAGATAAGACGAGGCATGATGCGTGGGCGCACGGCTCAGACATGATGATGCAGGGTGGTGATGGGTTGTGTGGATTCTGCAGGGTGTTTTTGAGAATTCTCAAAAACACCCTGCAAAATTCTGTGCTCGATTTCAAGACTCTGCCGCCCTCTCTCACGCCATCCGCACCATCGATCTCCATCACTTCGACCTTTCACATGCCCTGGTCTGAGACGTCTGTCTGTCACATGCCCACCATTCTCTCCCCATTCCCCACCCCCCTCCTCCCCTCTTTCCCCCCCTCAATCCTCAGGGCTACGTCTCCATGTCCGATGTGCCTCATTTCACGACTCTGCCACCCTCTCTCGTGTCCTCTGCACCATCGATCTCAATCACTTCTTCCCCCCCCCCCCCCCTTCCCCCCATCTGTCCCCCTACAACTCCCAGGGCTACGTCTCCATGTCCAATGTGCTTAATTTCAAGACTCTGCCACCCACTCTCATCCACACCACCACTGACCACCACCTATCCTATGTCCAGTCCAGTCCAAAAACCCCCCAATTCCCATTCCCATCCTCAATCCCATCCAGGGCTATGTGTCCATGTCCGATGTGCTCGATTTCAAGACTCTGCCACCCGCCCTCATCCGCACCATTGATCTGCGGCACTTCGCCGCCCGGTTCTGCCACTGTGACGTGGCTGCGGCTTGCTATGGCACTGGGTGCAGGGAGCTGACTCACGCTCATAACCATGATGCCCACTCACGTAAGGTGCTCATTGCTCATCGCTCGTACCCTCATATGTCTTGTGCTCTCTGTATGTGCTTCCATACCGTGACGGTGTGTCGCCGCTGGCATGCTATGGTGGTGCCGGGTGCAGGGAGCTGACTCACAGCCATTTGCCATGACTCCCATAAGGTGCTCATGGCACCTGATTATCTCACGTTCTCGGAATTTTTGTTCGTGGCTTGCTGAAGCGGCTTGCTGCGGATCCAACCCGTTTCATCGCAACAGTTCACATTCTCGGAAGTTTTGTTTCTATCTGTAAAGCTTGAAAGGCATCTCACCTCAGATGCTCTTGACAACCACGCTCCCTCGGCACTTCGTTTGTTTCTCTCTTTTTTTGTTTCTCACTCACCGTCTCTCTCGCTTTCTTGCACTCTCACTCACTCTTTCACTCTCATGACTCGTTTATCTCAACCCCGCAACAGGACGACAAGTGCATGTGGGAGTGTGGGGCCAAGCTAGGGGCGCAGGGGGGGGCGAGTAAGAAGTGGAAGCAGCAGGGGGTGCTGTTTCCCATTGATAACACGTGCAAGGATACCCTTTGGACAATTGGCAACTATGCCAGGTACGTCTGAGGTGCAATGTGGTGCAATGTGGTGTGGTACGGAAGTGCATGTGGCAATGCGGGGCAAAGCCAGGGGCGCAGTAGTGGGCGAGTAAGAAGTGGAAGCAGCAGGGGGTGCTGTTTCCCATTGATAACACGTGCATGGATACTCTCTGGACCATTGGCAGCTATGCCAGGTACGGCCACGATTCATTGCGGCGCAATGCAGTGCAGTGTGATTTGATGCGGTGGAGGCAGCAAAGGGCGCCATCTCCCATTGACAACACGTGCAAGGATACTCTCTGGACCATTGGCAGCTATGCCAGGTGCTCACACCATGGCGATGTTTGGTGTAATGCAGAGCTGCGTGGTACAGTGTACAGTGTGGTATGACTGTGCAGGAAGCAGCGGGTGTCTTTTCCCACTGAAGCATGTAACGCTCTTCCTTCTCCTCTCCCCATCTTTCTCCTCGCACTGCACCTCCTGTCTCCCCCCTATGAACTCTGAAAGACTAGGTAGCAGCAGTGGGGATTTTTTTAGAATTCCCCAAACCCTTTCTCTTAGCACTGCACCTCCTGTCTCCCCCCTATGAAGTCTGAAAGACTAGGTAGCAGATTTTTAGTCGACTAAAAAATCACTCTCCCCATCTTTCTCCTCGCACTGCACCTCCTGTCTGCTTTTGAGTCGATTCAAAAGCAGTCTCCCCCCTAAAAAGTCTGAAAGACTTGGTAACAGTGGGAGAGTAACAGCCAGGAATGTATTTTTGAGGCGCCTCAAAAATAGACTCCTCTCACCTCCTGTCCCCCCCCTATGCACTCTGAAAGACAAGGTAGCAGCAGTGGGGGAGAAAGAGCCAGGAGTGCCGGTTTAGGCACACATCAGCTTGAAGCACCAAATGCCCTTCCTTCCTTCCTTCCTTCCCCCCATATGTGTCCCTCTCCCCTCCCCCCTTCAAGTCAATCTCTCAAGTCTCAAGGACCTGGTAGCAGCGGTGGGGGAGAAGGAGCCAGCCGTGCCGGCCGTGGCACACATCGACTGAAGCATGCCCCTCCTTCCTCGAACCCCACCACCCCCTCTTTTTGAGGCGCCTAAAAAAGTCCCTCCCGTCCTCTCTCCCCATGCGTGAGGAGTCTATTTTTGAGGCGCCTCAAGTGGCACACATCGACTGAAACATGCCCCTCCTTCCTCGAACCCCACCACCCCCTCTTCCACCTGTCGCTCCTCCAGTTCCCCCCCTCAAATCAATCTCTCCAGTCTCAAGGACCTAGTGGCAGCAGTGGGGGGGAAGGAACCAGCCGTGCCGGCCTTTGCACACATAAACTTAAAGCTCCGTATGCCCTTCCTTCCCCTCTCCCCATGTTTCCCACTCCTTGCACCTCCTGTCCCCCCCCCCCCCCCCCTTAAAGTCTGAAAGACCTGGTTGCAGCAGTGGGGGAGAAAGAGCCAGCCGTCCCCGCCTTTGCTCACATTGATCTGAAGCGTCTTGTTCTCTCCCCCCTATCAAGTCTCAAGGACCTGGTGGCAGCAGTGGGGGAGAAGGAGCCAGCAGTGCCCGCCTTTGCACACATCAATCTGAAGCGTCTTGTTCCCTCCCTTCCTCTCTCCCCAACCGTCTCTCCCCCCTATCAAGTCTCAAGGACCTGGTGGCAGCAGTGGGGGAGAAGGAGCCAGCAGTGCCCGCCTTTGCTCACATCAACGTGAAGCGCAACCGCAACGAGCCGGTGCCACTCAACATCTACTCCACCCTCGGGGACTCGTCTCCTGCCAAGGACAGCAAGGTAGGGGCAGCAAGGTGCGGGCAGCAAGATGCGGGCAGCAAGGTGCGTGCTGCAAGGTGCGGGCAGCAAGGTGCGGGCAGCAAGGTGCGTGCTGCAAGGTGCGGGCAGCAAGGTGTGGGAAGCAAGGTGCGTGCTGCAAGGTGCGTACAAACGAAACAGAATATTGATTGAAGCGGCACCGCAATGAGCCGATGCCACTGAACATACTCCACCCTTGGGGACTCGTCTCCTGCCAAGGACAGCAAGGTGTGTGGCGCACTTGCCATGCTTGTTAACACAAGATGCATCATTTGAAGCGCAACGGCAACAAGCCCATGCCACTCACCAAGTAATCCGCGCTTGGGGACTTGTTTCCAGCCAACTCGATGTCTTCTCCTGCGTATTTTCCCCCCCATGCTGCTTGCCCCGTCAGGTTGTTTTCTCCCCCATGCTGCTTGTCCAGTCAGGGTGTTTCCCCCCCATGCTGCTTGCCCCGTCAGGTGCTGGCCTTCCCCTCTCTCTTCCTTCGTCCCACCAATGCCCATTGTTTCTTCCTTCGTGCAGCACCCCTCTCCACCCCTCTCCACCCCTCTCTTGTTTCTTCTCCATTTTGGCCCCACCAGGTGCTGGCCTTCCCCTCGCTCTTCCATCCGCGCATTGCTGACATCAACCTGGAGTGGGACGACCGCGTGCAAGCGATTAGAGAGGTGAGCGAAGGTATGCAGGTATTTCTGAGTCGACTCAAAAGTCACCTCGAAGGTATGCAGGTATTTCTGAGTCGACTCAAAAGTCACCTCGAAGGTATGCAGGCATTTCTGAGTCGACTCAAAAGTCACCTCGAAGGTATGCAGGTATTTCTGAGTCGACTCAAAAGTCACCTTGAAGGTATGCAGGTATTTCCCTCTGCTCATCCATCCTCACAGGTGTTCGCCTTGCGCTCTCTTTTCTCTCCCATCCGCGCATTGCTGACATCAACCTGGAGTGGGACGACCGCGTGCAAGCGATTAGAGAGGTGAACAAATGAGACGTGAGCGATCATAGATGTGCTTCATGACCTTTGGCCCTTGCGTCTTTGCCCTGCCCCCCCCACGACCTCCCTCCACCCCACGACCTCCCTCCACCCCCTTCCCCCCCCCTTTTTCCCCCTCCCCCTGTTCCCCTTCCCCCTGTGTCATGGACTGTAACACAGGCTGCACTCATTTCCTCCTAACCACTTCCCCCTTCCGCACCCCGTCCACACCTCCATCTCTTCCCCCAGGCCCCTGCATCGATGCCCTTCACCACCCTTCCCCATCGATGTTCTTCATACACCTACAGCAGCATTTGATCGCACACTCCTCACGTGCCACCCATTTCCCTCGCACAAGTAAAGGGTAGATTTGACCGCGACAGCCAACGGATCTTAGCCCATTTCCCTTCCCAGTCTTTGAGGCGCCTCAAAATTAGACTTCCCAATCTTCCCCATGCTTGCAGGCCCCCGCATCCATGCCCTTTACCCCTCCTATAATGGACCTCGCACGTGACTTCAAGCTCTTATGCTCATGACTGGCAAATCATTCAGCATTCAAACGCTCAACACTTTCACACCCCCCCCCCCCCGCCCCCCGCCCCCGCCGTCCCCATGCTTGCAGGCCCCCGTGTCGATGCCCTTCAACCCCCCCAGAATGGACCTGGCGCGTGATTTCATCTACAGCAGCATTTGAACGCACACTCACTCCGCACATTCCACCCATTTCCCTTCCCAATCTGTAAGGCGCCTCAAAAATAGACTTCCCAATCTTCCCTATGCTTGCAGGCCCCCGTATCAATGCCCTTCACGCCCCCCATAATGGATCTGGCGCGTGATTTCATCTACAGCAGCATCGGGCGTCCCTTTGGGTGCATGCAAGTGCGGGGCACCGACGGCATGTTCGTCAAGTCGCTAAAGAACACTCTTAAGTAAGTGACGGCTTTCTTACTCTAAGAGTCGCAAACCCATGAGGGTCACTGGCAGCTAGTTCGTCAAGTCAAGGCGCTCAGGAGCTCTCTCAAGTAAATATCCCCGTAGTGCTACCCCTCTTCCTGTGAAATTTGAAAAGTTACGGAGGGGGAGGAGGGGGATTCTACATTCAGCGCCCTCTTCCTGGCCTAGCTGCCCTTCTTTCCATTCTCCCACTCTTCCCCTCTCCTCTTGCCACAGATCTCTAATCCCCCTCCTCTCCCTCTCCTCTTGCCAGAGATCGGAGGCGATGTTAAAAGAGATGCTTATGTGATGTTAAAAGGGATGCTTATGCAAGGTTATAAGCGATGCTTATGCGCAACCCGAGCGCCCACGCCCCACCTCTCAAGTTCAGTTTTGAGGCGCCTCAAAACCCGCCTCTCAAGTTCAGTTTTGAGGCGCCTCAAAACCCGCCTCTCAAGTTCAGTTTTGAGGCGCCTCAAAACCCGCCTCCCAAGTTCCACCTTTTCCTAGTGACCGACATTCCCAAGGCCTCCTGGCAAGGGACCCTGCAGGGGACCTTCCTCGTCTGGCAAGGTCTCTCACTCCTCTCGTTGCTCATTCCTCTCTTCTCTCATCCCTTCCCTCCCATTCTCCCGTTATCTCCCGCTCTTCCCTCCCATCTCCCGTTCTGACCTTCATCCCCCAGAGATGCAGAAGCGACGTTAAAAGAGATGCTTAAGCGCAACCCCAAAGCCCACGCCCCACCTCTCAAGTTCCCCCTTTTCCTTATGACCGACATTCCCAAAGCCTCCTGGAAAGGAACCTTCCTAGAGCACCTTGGTGAATTTCCTGTAGAGCTGTTTACTGTGGACAGCATAATGGGGAGGGTTAACACTGCAGCGAGGACGATATTAACGGAAGAGATTGGGCTGTATGCGAACAGGGGGCAGGTGCACCTGACTGCTAACGGGGCTGCTAGTATGGGGGATGGCACTGCTGGTGGTGGCGGTGTTGGACCCCAGACTCCAAAACGACAAGGTAGGCGAAGGCTGGCATATGGAGGGGAGGGTGGCAGAGCCAAGCACATGCAAAGAGCAGAGGATTTTGTGGGATTGCAAGAGGTGAAGGGAGTGGGTGAGTCAGGGAAACTGGAGGAACTGGCAGGAAGGCGCAGGCTAGGAGGGGAGGAGGGGAGGGTGGAGGAGCTAGAGGACATTGTGCTGTTTGTGGAGCAGGCGATCTGCTGCCATGCCACCTTGGGCACGTTCACCACCTTCAAGTCCACTGCTGGGAGCCTCGTGCATGCGCTGAGGCGGGCGGGTAACTGTGTGGTGGAGGAGGAGGCGTTCAGAAAGCAGGGCAGATAGAGCACGAGGAGATTGAGGCCATTCAGCAGGCCATCTTCTGCCACACCACCTTGGGCACGTTCACGACTTTCAAGTCCACTGCGGGGAGTCTGGTGGTGCATGCTCTCAGAAGCGCTGGAATTGTGTTGTTGAGGAGGAGGCTTTCAGAAAGAAGGGCAGGTAAGGGTATGAGAGCACTTGGCGTCTGGCAGCAGCAACCAGCCTTGTGCATGTGCTGAACCTCGACTGTGATACGGTTTTTAGAAGTCTAAAAAACCTATCTGCTGAGCCTCGTGCATGTGCTGAGGCGGATGGAAGCGCTGTGGTGAAGGAAGAGCCGTTCAGAGAGCAGGGAGGGAGGGAGGAGGTGAAGCGGGGGCGGGGGGAGGGGGGAAGGGAGGGACAACACTCAACAGAGTTTCGTGGTGGTTGTCTCGCTTTTCAAGTCCACTGCAGGGAGTCGGATGCATGCGCTGAGACCGCCTGGGAACAGTTTTTGAGGCGCCTACAAAACGGTTGGGAACTTGGGAACTGTTGTGGAGGTGTTTAGGAACGAAGGGAGGGGGGTGGATGAGGGGTGATGGACGGATCATAGGACGGAACGGGCCTTGCAAGTTGCAAGCTGTGTAATGTGGTATTGTTGGAATGGGAGTGACTCAAGAAGGGCTGTGTGGACAATATGTCACTTGCATGTTACATTATTCTGAACAGATATGAATCCCATCTGTCTCAGTGCAGTGGCACATTTGGCTCCGCACAATTAGTATCCGCTAAGACTTATCATCCTACCAAGTTTATTCCAGAGGTTAAGTTGAATTGAGGGAAGGGGGAGGGAATGCATGAGACAAAGCGTGAGGAGTCTATTTTTGAGGCGCCTCAAAAATAGACGATTCACGGGGGTATGCCATGAGACAAAGTAGCGTATTGAACATCTGTTGGACCACCCCCGGGGGCTGTTGCAGCCAAAGCCCAAGCGGCCCCAGCCCCCGGGGGTGGCAGTAATACCTCCCGGTGAACTGAACATACAGTAGCACTGCACTGCACTCTATTGGACAGGGAGGGGGGGCGCCATGAGCCACGAGAGCGTGTTGTACAAGTGCTCCACCCACCCATCCAGCGGCCCCGGGTGGCAGTAATGCAGGCAGTCCACTGCATTCTTGGCCGGAACAAACTCCTTGTGACCGTCGATTCGCAGCGCCGTCATCGAATCAACGTCCATATAGGCAGCTCCATACCTCTTTACAATCACCTCCGCTAGCTTGTTCTGCCGCGCGAATTTATCCCAGTTATACGGGAGAATCGCCGGATCCTGGCGCTTTTTCAACGGGGTTTTCTGGCCCGTGCAGTTGGCGTGACCAGGCGGGGTGTTCCGCCAGATAATAAGCTTCTCTGGGAATCGGCTTCGGATGTACATTAGGGCGCGTTCGAGCACGGGGGCATAGAGCGCATCCTCTTCGTAGTGCGGCCCGCGATTCACTATAATCACATCGGCTTCTCGAATCACCTCCATTCGGGACCACGGCTGCCGGTCGAACGAGCGAGGGTTGGACAACGTGAGCTGGTCCGTTCGCACGTAAGCTGCCCGGAGCCCCGGGCAGACGTCATCGCTGACCGAGTAGAACTTGCAGAAGGCGTGCTTCACAGACGAGTCGTTGTGCCAGTCGGAGCAGTACTTGGGAACTTCCATTGTCATATGTTCCTCCGCGACCGGCTTCGGGAATTTCACAAGGAGGTTGTTGAGAAACGCCTCGGATAACTGCTCGTTGAGCGAATCCCCCAGGAAGAGAAACAGCCGCCCGCGGCCCACCCTCTCGCAAAACTTTTCCGGGGTGAATTTCAGCCAGCTAGTGTGGGCGAAACGCATCGTCATCCTCATCGATTCTCTCGCTCCTCCGGTCCTCATCCCCCCCTCCGGCCCCTCCTCCTCATCCTCCACCTCCCAGGATCGAAGTGGCACCCTGGGACACGCGTTGGCAGGCACTCCCCATTTATACTTGAGCGATTCTCTCACCGTCCACTCCTCTGGATCCCCCTTCTCATCCGCTATCTTATCAGCTGCCCCCATGGCTTTCCCCAGGTGCCTCCCACTTAAAGCTGAGTCACATTGGTACGGCTTCCCCATAAACCACCAGGGGAGGCGGCGGGGTTTCGGGTCATAGACCCACGAGCCCTCCTGGCCGACACATTTCATCCAGGATCGGAATTTCTGCACCTGCAGCGAGCTCCGGAGCACCGAGCCTCGGATGAGGTCTGTAGGCCGCAGCAGCGACCTCCCGTTAGCTTCGGCGTCGGCGAGCGCCTCGGCAGCAGCTTCGGCGGCAGCTTCGGCGTCCCGAGCCGGGGACATAGCAGCGGCAATGGCACCGGGCGAGGAGTAGATATCGTGGGCAACACGGTCAATCACATCGTCGATTTCCCGCGCGTTGCACGCCAGCTGGCCGGATGACGCGCGGAGGGCCGCCGACGACGTGGCGGGATCTGCCACGTCATCACCCGGCTGGCAGATGAGGACGAAAGAGCGGAGGTCGTTGGCCGAGGCGAAGGAGCGGGAGAGGAGGGTGTAGTGGGTGGCGAGGTTGGCGGGGATGGGCGGCCGCAGGTCGAGGACTGCCGCCCGGGGCGGCATGAACATGGTGTTGGTGATGGCGAGCCCCAGACAGGTTATGAATAGAGCCGCCCGGTTGAAAATATGCTTGCCTGGGGTGGTGATACGGTAGGGGGTTGGGGGAACATGGGGAGTAGAGGGAGTGGGAGTGTGTGTGAGAGGCACGAACATGGTGTTGTGTTGGTGATGGCGAGTTAGGTTATAAAGAGAGCTGCTCGGTTGAAGATGGCTTCCCTGGAGTGTTTGACCAGTAGGGCGTGGGGAATAGGGAGCAGGGGGAGAAGAACGTATGAGAGGCGAAGTGGTGGCGAAACTGATGCAGGCTACGAAGAGGGCAGCTCGGTTGAAGAAGTACTTGCCTGGGGTGGAGTAGAGGGGGGGGGGGGAGAAACGGGGGAGAATACAGGGAGCAGAGACGAGGAGAATGTGCGAGAGGCATGTATATGGTGCTGTGGTGGTTATGAGAGGGCTGCTCGTTTGAGGTTGTGTTTCTCTGTGGTGAACGGGTTGCGATAAGGGGTTAGGGAGCAGGGGAGAGGGGCAGGCGGGTAAGTGCGAGAGGACTGTTCACAGTGGTGGATTAATGGCAAGGCTGCCAAGGTATGAAAGAACACAAACCAGGAGGACTGCTTGCGTTTTGAGCCAACTCGAAGGTCAGCAAGTCGACCCAGAAGCCGCCACGGGAGGGATACGAGGCAAGAGGACACACCTTCCATGATCTTTCTGCTGGACGAGAACACAAAGATCCTATCAGGAGGGAAGTACCGGTGCAGCAGCTCCTCCACCTGCCCCAGTGCCTTGGTGCACCGCATCGAGTCGTGCGCCACCACCACCTGACATGGCACATACACATGTAGGCACAAAGAGTACGGGGGATTTGGATTCAAGGTGCAGACACACGGGTATGGGAATGAGAGGGAAGCATCAGTGCAGCAGCTCCTCCATCTGCCCCAGCGCCTTGGTGCACCGCATCGAGTCGTGCGCCACCACCACCTGACATGGCACGGGCATGGGTACAAACACAAGCACCAACACACACCAACAGAGTCCTCCTGCACCGCCACCACCTGATTGTGGTATGAAGAGAAGGCAGAACGCATGGGCGAGAGAGAGAGAGAGAGGGGGGGGGGGGGGACGAGTTGATGCAGCAACGAGTCCCCTCCCCCCGCCCTAGTGCCTTGGTGCTGCGCATGGAGTCATCTTGCGCCACCACCCCCTGCCATGGCATGTGCTAGGTTTCTGAGAATTCTAAAAAACCTAACTCAGCATGGCATGTGCAGGAGCCAGGGCAGTCTCTCATGTGCCATCCCATGGGCACCCAAGACCTAATGCGGTGACTTTTGAGTCCACTCAAAAGTCGCCTCGTTTTGAGTCGACTCAAAAGTCACCCTCGTTACTATGTGCAGGAGCCAAAACAGTCTCATGTGCCATCCCAAGGGCACCCATGACCTAACGCGGTGACTTTTGAGTCGACTCAAAAGTCGCCTCGTTTTGAGTCGACTAAAAAATCACCCTCGTTACTATGTGCAGGAACCAGAGCAGTCTCATATGCCATCCCATGGGCACCCACAACCTGTGCAAGTCCCCTCCCTTGCCAGGGCAGGCAGTGAGCGAGGTGCTTGTGGTATGACCGTTGGAGTGACCTTAGGAGGCACCTGGGCAAGGCGACCTTATACAGCTAATTAGTCTCACCTGCCAGCCTATGGGCACCCACGACCCGTGCAAGTCCCCTCCCTGTGCGTAGCCCTCATCCGGCAGGGCGGGCAGCGAGGGGAACACGGAGCGAGCCCCGTCCAGAAAGCCAGGCGGCACCTTGGGCACGCGCTCGAGGGGGGAGGAGGGGTCGTCAGAGAGAGAGGAGGAGGAGGGGGAGGAGGAGATGGCGAGGATGGGTGAGGTAGCGGTTGGGTCGGTGGTGTCTGGGGGAGGTGGGGAGGGCAGCAGGAAGCGGCGGCGGAAGTGCTTCCAGAGCGGGAGGTCTGGGTTGGAGCAGTAGGGAATGACGGGCTGAAGGGGGGGGCGGGGGAAAAGCAGAAGGGAGATACGAGAAGAGAGAGGGGGGATGGGGAAAAGGGAATTTGAAGGCGTGGTGGGGAGAGCAGGAGGAAGTGGCGGAAAAAGTGCTTCCAGAGGGGGAGGTCGGGGCTGGTGCAGTAGGGAATGACGGGCTGATTGGGGGGGCGGGGGGTTGGGGGAGGAAGGAAGGGGAGGAACAGAAGGGAGATATGTAAAAAAAGAGGGGGAATGGAGATTTAAGGTGGGGAGGGCAGCAGGAAGCGGCGCGGAAGTGCTTCCAGAGGAGGAGATCGGGGCTGGTGCAGTAGGGAATGACGGGCTGAGGGGGGGGGGGGGGGGGGGGGGGAATCAAAAGGGAGATGAGAAGAAAAAGGGGGAATGGGGGGTCGGAATTTGAGGGTGGGGAGGGCAGCAGGAAGCGGCGGCGGTAGTGCTTCCAGAGAGGGAGGTCGGGGCTGGTGCAGTAGGGAATGACGGCCTGGAGGGGAGGGAGGGGGGGGGAGGGGAGAGGGGGAGAGGGGAAGGGGAAGGGGGGAGGGGGGTTGAGGGTGGGGAATTTAAAGAGCCGGCTCCAAGGTACCATTCTCTCGGAGTGTCCCTTCCAGGTGAGGATCCCTTCCAGGTAAGGGTTTTCTTGTAGTTTTGACACGACTCAAAACTGAAATGTACCTGAAAACTCACCTGGTATAGCTTCTTGACATGCCAGAGGCACTTGCTGATATGCCGGGCTCCCTGCTGGAAAAAAAGACATGCTTCGCCAGAATCCCTCAATCACTCACCTGGTAGAGCTTCTTCACATGCCAGAGGTACTTGCTGCTACTGCCGGGCTCCCCATTGGCCAGAAAGGAGTGCTTCGCTAGAGAGAGGCCCAGCAGCTGTGATATAAGCAGCTGGAGCAGCTGGTTGAAGGGGCGAGGGGGGGAGGGGGGGACGAGAAGGGAGTGAGAAAGGAGTGCTTCGCTAGAGAGAGGCCCAGCAGCTGCGATATAAGCAGCTGGAGAAGCTGTGCTTTGGGGAGGGTGTGGGGGCGAAGAAGGACAGTTATAGGGGGGGGAAGGGGGTGTGTGTGAGAGAAAGGAAGTGAGGAGGAGCTTTCTGACTTGGCAATCTTAGCAGCAAGAGGCAGACCCAGCAGCTGCGATATCAGCAGCTGGAGCAGCTGGTAGGGGAGTGGAGGAGGGAAGAGGAGGAGAGAAAACCGGGGGAAGAAGAGCGGAGCGAGAAAGGCGTGCTACGCTAGAGGCAGGCCCAGCATCTGCTGCGCTATGAGCAGCTGGAGCAGCTGGAGCAGGTGGGTGAAGGGGGGGAAAGCGGGGGGAGGGGAGATAAAGGGAGTGAGAAAGGCGTGCTTCGCTAGAGGCAGGCTCAGCAACTGCCTAATGAGCAGCTGGCGCAGATGACAGAAAACGATGGGGGTTTTGGAGGAGGGGAGGGGGGAAGAGGAGGGGAGGGGGGAAGAGGAGGGGAGGGGGAAGAGGAGGGGAGGGGGGAAGAGGAGGGGAGGGGGAAGAGGAGGGAGGGGAGAAGAGGAGGGGAGGGGGGAAGAGGAGGGGAGGGGAGAAGAGGAGGGGAGGGGGGAAGAGGAGGGGAGGAACCAGGGAGGACAGGGAGCTCTTATCGAGTTGATTCGTTATAGACTATAGTACCCAGACGCAGGTCCAGAAGCTGAGATGCCAGCAGCTGAAGCTGGCTAATGTATATTATGTACACATAATGTTTTTTTTTAGAGCCTTTTTTTTTAAAATTCTACTGACATTTTGCAATCTGGGGAGAAACTGTTTTTGCTTCTTGACCTTTGGCTTCTATGTGATCGCTGGTTTGCCAGACTGCACAAGATTGTATATCATTACACCATTTCACACCGCAATCCACAGCACTGCACACCCTACACACCTTGTTTGCGTGAGTGACGACTTTGGCTTGGCGCAGGGACAGGGGGACGTGGAGCGTGGTGCAGGGGCAGCAGGGGGAGAGGAACCATCAGGATCTGGTCGTACAAGAGCACCTTGCACCTCAAAGCAGCACTCTGTACCAGACTGCACCGCACAGAGCACCCTACGTACCTTCTTTGCGTGGGTGACGACTTTGGCTTGGCGCAGGGACGGCAGGACGTGGTGCAGGGGCAGCAGGGGCGGCAGAACCATCAGGATCTGGTCGTACATGGGGCGTCGCTCCATAAAGTGACCCGGTAGTAGCAGATTCAGTACAGTCTCCTGGCGAGACACGTGCGTGTCTAATCCGTACACTACCTGTTGATTAACAAGGAACAAAGGGGGGGAGAAAAAGGGCATAAGGGGGGGTCTGTCTGCTGATGAGTCTATTTTTGAGGCGCCTCAGAAGGAGGGTCTGTCTGCTGAGTAACAAGAAACAAGCAGTAGCAGTTTGACATGAACAAGGGAGGGAGGGAGGGAGAAGAAGGGAGGGAGGTGGTGGAAGTGACTCTGTGTATACAGGCGAATCAGCTGGATTCACTGAGTTGGCTGGATTCACTGAATCGGCTGGATTCAGGGAATCGGCCCCCACACTGGATCCAGTGTGCGCCTCTCTAAGGAGGTAACACTGGGAAAAAAAAAAGAATAAAAAAAGGGGGAGTGCTTTCGAGCTGACTAAAAAGTCAACACGAATAGCTTCCCCCCCAGCTCAAACCCCTTCCTAACCAGCCCCACCGCACTGTACTCCCCGCAAAAGGCATAGAACCTACCACTGTTCCCCGCGAGGTACTTCCCGACACGTCGAGCCGGTGCGTGACGTTAAAGACCCGCCCCTCGCCGTCCAAATACACGTCTTCCAACACAAACAGCGATCCCGCCGCCGGCTCCAACCCCTTCCAAACCCGTCTTACCGCACAGTTATCCCCGCTAGAGAGAGCGCAGAGCATACCTTAGTTGCCGGCTTGGCACATCCCGAGACGTCGAACCGATGCGTGACGTTAAAGATCCGCCCCTCGCCGTCCAAATACACATCTTCCAAAACAAACAGCTCCTCCCAGCCACGTCAGAAGCATAGTAAAACATACCTTTGTTGCCGGCTTGGCACATCCCGAGACGTCGAAACGATGCGTGGCGTTAAACACGCGCCCCTCGCCGTCCAAATACACGTCCTCCAACACAAACAGCTGCCCCGCCGGCTCCGGCTCCTTCTTCCCCGCCTTACCCCACTTCAATCTCCGTCTCGCCTGCGCCTGCTTGGCTCTTAACTCCGCCGTCCTAAGCGACAGGGTAATTGGTCCCGGATCGTCGTCAGGCGGGCACCCCGGCCTTAATAGGTGGCCTGGCTGCGTCCCGTCGTCCTCTAAACACTGGTCTAGAGGGTTAACTCCCGTACTCCAGTGGATGTACGACTGCGTACGGTTCAGGAGAACCGTACGGCCGTACGCTGCCAGGTCAGCATCGGGATCTTCGGGATCCGCGGGATTCCAACACGCGGAGACTTTTCCGCCTAAACCGGGGCACGCGGAAAAATCCGGGCATTTTTGGCCCTTGCAGGCGATCGTTCCTGGTGCGTTAGAGACGCCTGAAGAGGAGAGAGGAGAGAAACGGACGATCTTAAGTTTGGAGAGATCTACGGGATTCCCGAGGGTATACTTCCCGGATTTTCTGCCGGACGGCCGGAGCGCTTGTAAGCGTCGTCGGCGCTCGGAGGTGGCCTGAGGTGATTCGGGTATCTGGAAGGGTATCCGCGAATCACGGGGTAATGAGGAATCGGACGGTGGAGATGGCTTCAGCAGGCGATCGACGGCTGAGATGCTGAGTGTTGAAAGATCGGACGCATTGTAACGGTTGCTGGGTAACTTTAGGAGGGAATCAGGCAAAGGAGATGCTTTGAGGCGCTTTATAAGGCGAGATATGAGACGATAATCGACTGGAGAGGGGGTCGAAGGTGTACTGGCAGACCCTATAACGAATGCGCTTATAACGATGAGGCTTATATGGAGGATCAGCGAGCCGGACGGCCTCGAGAGTGGTCGTGGCGCCATGAGCAAATGAGCCGCGGAGGATGCGGGAAGACCTACTCGATTCAGAAGCTTGACAGAAACCAAGGCCTAATTAAGATCGCCTGGCTAGACAATTGCGAGGCGAGAACGATTGGCGTAGGGGCAATGGGAGGAGATTAAAGACGTCTTAGTCTTGCAAGGGAAACGCGAGGCTCCAGCGAAGGCAGTTCTGGGACAGGTAAGGACTAAGGACACGCAATGGGATCAGGTCAGGGGAGCGGCAGGCGCATTAGATCGCGTTCTGAAGTTAGCGGGACTGCACTGCACTGTAAGCGACGAGGACGATTACCCTACCCTAGTACCCTACCATTGTGAAAGATGAAGGCGACGTTTCTACCTGCGGCTGGGCAGCAGCAGCGGGCGCATTCGACTGGTCAGGTCAGCTGGTGTACAGTACAGTATCTGCTTGATCGAGGCGCACCTAAGCTGGTGTACAGCATCTGGTTAGGCTCCTCCTAACATTACTGCTCAGTACCGGTACATTACCGTAGCGCACCTAACACTAGGGCGGGACTGTGGCGTGGCATGCATGGGCGGATGGAGACAGCAGCACCTGACAGCAGCCACCTGCCTGAACCGACGGTCAAGTGCACTTGGAGGTCGAGTCAAGTTAAATGCTTTTTTATAAGTTTACAACTGCTGCGTAGACAGGCGCATCTAGTGTAGTGGTATCATAGTACCCTCCCACGGTACTGACCGGGGTTCGATTCCCCGGATGCGCAGTTCCTTTTCCTCTATGTGCCTTCTCTTCTTGCACAGATTCATGCGTGGGCTCCTAGTGACGTATTATTTCCCCTTTCCCCATCGTACAACAATTCCAGAGTCTGAATCACCGAATGCACACCCTTCTCGCATGACCAAGTGCCTGTGCTGCACTCATGCCAAGCTGAACACCTCTGGTCACGTTTGAAAACGTCGCATGGTATATCTGAGGCAGCAGCAGCCACAAGCAGTGGTGGACACATGCCTCACAGAATGCCAGTACATGCATAAACATACTAATATTTAATCCCGTCAGCTTACTACCGTATGTCGATCTTGACTCTGTCAATCTCATTTACCATAACCATACCAACTCTCACGCATACAGCAGCAGGCAGCCTCTGCAACTATCGGCTACCGTGACGAAGGCAAGGTGCGGAGCAGGGTGCTATAGAGGACGTCCATCCACGAATCAAACAACTGGATGCGCCTAAAAGATCTTTCCACGCAGCCTTCAGCGCCAGCTATCGTGGCAGAGGCAAGGTGCGGAGCAGGGTGTTATAGAGGACATCCATCCACGAATCCAACGGTCCAGGAGTGCAGTAGTGCAGGCAGTCCAGCCGTTGGATCGACGGCTTCCACCCCTTGTGCCCATCTGGCCGTAGAGCCGTCATGGCATCCACATCCATATAAACCATACCCAACTCTTCTGCAATACCCCGGGCTATCTCATTCTGCCCAGCCAGCTTCTCCCAGTTGTAAGGCAGAACGCTCGGGTCTTGCCTTTTTGGAATCGGAGCCGTTGCATTCTCGCAGTCCGCGTGACCCGGAGGGGAGTTTCGGTAGATTAAGAGCTTTTGGGGCCACCGGTTACGGAGGTAGGTCATAACTGTGCGCATCTCGGGCTCGAACACCTCGTTCGTCGTATAGTGCGCCCCGCGATTAATGATAATTATATCGGAGTTCGCGACTTCCGGCATGCGCGTCCACTGTAGCTCGCTGAAGTGCCTCGGGGCCCCCAGCCACAGATGGTCGCTTCGGATGAATAAAATCTTGAGGCCCGGGCAGACCTCATCGGAAAACTCAATGGTTCGGCAGTACTCGTGCCGAATCTCCGTGTTGTTGACCCAGTCAACGCAGAATTTTGGCTTTGACTCATGGACCGCCCAATCAGCCGGCTTCAGCACGTCCCTCAGCATCTGGTTGATAAATATCCCAAAAAACTGCTCGTTAAGAGAATCCCCGAGAAACAGAATTGTCCGGTTCTTCCCAACCCGGTTGCAGAAATCTTGAGGCTGGAAAGGCACCCAGGCTTGGTCTTGCACCGGCATGGGACAGCTGCCCTTCACTCTCCACTCGTACTTGAGAGTTTTCTCGCACTGTCCACCCCTCCGGCGCACCCCCGGACCTCGCATACTCGTCGGCTTCTTTCTTCATGAGCCCCTGGGTGGCGTCCCAGTGTCTGTGGTCACACAGGTTGATGTTTCCAGGATAATCCCAAGGGAGGACGCGAGGAGTGGCGTTGTAATCCCACCGACCCTGCTTGCCTATGCACGCCATCCAATCCTTGAACGCCCGAACCTCCTCCCCAGACCTCAGCTTCGTCCCAAGCAGCTTCTGCTTCAGCCCGAACCTGCCGCCTGCCGGACCTGCGATGGAGCGCACTGTAGCTCTGGTTACCACCTCGCTACTGTACACGTCGTGCGATACCCTATCGATGACGTCCTGCACATGCCACATGTCGCAAGATAAGCGGCTGCGCAGCGGCGCATTCCCATTGGCCGATTTCGGGTCGGGCTGGGCGGCGCAGAGCAGCTGATAATGACGAAGGCCGCAAGCCTCTGAGAGCTGTCTGGTGGGGAGATCCGGGTCTGCTGCTACAGCCGCTACAGATGCCGTTTTCTGGGCAATATTGGGGCCGAGTACGGCTCGGAGCTCGAGGACAGTGGCGTTGGGTGGCATGAACATGACGTGGGCGAGAGCCGAGGTGGATGTGGCTACGAAGAGAGCTGCTCTGTTGAACAAGTCCTTGGCTGCACGGACGGAAGAAACAGAAGGGTGGATAGGGAGGGAAGGGAGGGGTGGGGGAAAGGAGGGGACGGACAGTTGCTTTGGGTGGCATGAAGATGAGGTGGGCGAGAGAGGAGGTGGATGTGGCTATGAAGAGAACTGCCCACGGAACTGGGAGATGTTCCCCCTCATGCAAATATCAATATTAAAGCGATTTTTGAGAATTCTCAAAATGTAGGCGATTTGTTAGAATTCTCAAAATGTGGAAGTCTGCCTCAACAAAGCCTGACGCCTCATTGTTTGTTATGACTTGCGCCCTGTTTTTTTTCTTGCTACATAGTTTCTAGTCTTCTTTCTAAGTTACCAGTCTTCTCTGTTAAAAGCCCATGAATTAGCGCACTCAGGTTACCCTGGGTGAGGACAGGATGGATGTGTGTGGATGGGGGGTGAGGAAGGGGGGAAACGGGGGGAGGGGGGGGAGGGGAGGCGAAGGGGTGGGGAGGGGGAGGGGGGAAGGGGGGGGGGAGAAGAGGGGGAGGGGAGAATACTGTCATAAATCGCTCACCTTCCAGAACATTGAGGTTGTTCTTAAAGAGTACAATCCGATCCTCAGGAAAAAAGAACTTCAGCGCGTCCCTGATCTCCCCTGCCTCATCCACCCTCCCTGCCACGTCAGCAGCCACCACCACCACCCAATCCTCCGGCACACCTGCCGCCAATCCCGCTGCTGACTCAGCATCTGCTGACTCGGAACCCGTGTCTCGGAAAACTTGGGGGGAGCCTCTAGGAAGGAGGTGGTTGGAGCGGAATTGGGTCCATAGGGCCATGCTGGGTTGCCGGCACTGCTGCCGAACGGGTTGGTACAGCTTCTGGACATACCAAAGGTGGGGTAACCCTGGCTTTACCCCCTGTACTTCGTGGTCTGTAACGGGTAATTTGAGAACTCTATTGGCCACTGCTGATAGGAGCTGAGAAGGGGTAAGGGGGGGAGAAGAGTGAGGAAAAGGAGGGGGGGGGGGGGAGGGGGAGGGGAAGGAAGGAGGGGGTGGGGATTGGTGAGTGAGAGAGCAACGGACAGTACTTTCTTTTATTACTGAGGTCAGTGCATGGTTTGTTGCTGCTGTGCTGCGGCGGTGATAGTGGTGGTGGTGATGGTGGCGGTAGTGGTGGTGGTGGTGCCTCCCCTCTTCCCCTCCCCCCTCCCCTCTTCCCCTTCCCCCTCCCCTCTTCCCCCTCCCCTCCCCCCCCCCCACTTTTCTCCCCCCGCGTACCTTTCTGCTCCTGGCCACTATGACGGCGTCCTTAAGCTTCGGCAGGACCTCCTTCAGCGGCAGCATCATGGGGAGAAGGTCCGTGAGCTCGTGGAACACCTCAGCACGCGGATCCGCCACGTCAGACAGCAGGTTCACCACGTCACGGTGCATGGTGACGTGTGTCCCTGCGGGGTACGACACCTGCTCAGTGGAGAGGAGGGAAGAAGGGGGGTGTTGCCCGTTGGGGGAAAAAGGGGGGGGAATGGGGGGAAGAACGAATTATTCTTAATATCCTGTAGCGAAAGAAAGGGAATGATGGAGGGGTCGAGGAGGGAAGGATTCACGCGGGGCAGGTAAAGGAGGAAGGGGGGAGTAGGAGGGGGGAAGGGGGGAAGTAGGAGGGGGGAAGGGGGGAAGTAGGAGGGGGAAGGGGGGAAGTAGGAGGGGGGAAGGAGGGAGTAGGAGGGGGGAAGGGGGGAGTAGGAGGGGGGAAGGGGGGAAGTAGGAGGGGGAAGGGGGGAAGTAGGAGGGGGGAAGGGGGGGAGTTGGTGCGATGGAGAGGAGAGTGAGTGGGATGGGATGGGATACTCCACCAAAGTTTGCTTCAGCGGTGCAACCCGACGGGTCGAAGAGGTAAGTCTCATTGAGAATCTGACCGCGCCGGTTCACGTAGACGTGTTATATCCCTGCGACGATAAGTCAACTCCTAAAAGGACTCGAACCTACGTTTGCTTCGGTAACGCAACCCGACGGGTCGAACAAGTGAGTCTCATTGAGAACCTGACCGCGCCGGTTCACATATACGTGAAATATCCCTGCGATGATTAGACAATTCCGAAAATGACCCGAACTTACGTTTGCTTCGGTAACGCAACCCGACGGGTCGAAGAAGAGATTCTCATTGAGCATCGGACCGCGCCAATTCACGTAGTCGTGTTATATCCCTGCGATGACTAGTCAACTCATAAACTGATTCTTACTTACGTTTGCTTCAGTGACGCAGCCCGACGGGTCGAACAGGTGAGTCTCGTTAAACACCTGGCCGCGCCAGTTCACATAGACGTTCTCCAGCACAAAAACCTGCCCGGCCCATTTCTTCTCCCAGTCTTTAATCACCCTCCGCGTCTCCGTATCCGCCGGCTCCCCTGCCGCGGGACACCCGGGCCGCAGGAGGTCACCTGGCGATTCGCCTGAATTCTCCAAGCATAAGTCCAGGGGGTTTCCCCTCCCGCGTTTCTGCAGCAGGTGCAGCTGCCGCCGCTGATCCGCGACGGTTCCGGGCCCGCGGAACGGATCGACGTATTGCGGGTTCCAGCAGGCTTTAAGCGACGGGAATCTGACTCCGCAGCCCTTAAACTCCGGGCATTGGCCTCCGTGGCATTTCGCGGAGATCGCGCCTTCGTCCTCGGGCTGAGGCGTTTGAAATTCGTGGAAATAGTCGAGGGGAACGCGCGTTAAGGAGGTAAGATGGAGTGGTTGATCGAGCTGGCGGGAGGAGGTCACGGTATAGGCCTTGAGCGATCGCCGCCGGGGAATAGTGTTTTCCGCAGGGGTGACTTTTTCTGAAGGAGTGGCGGATTGTGGAGAATAGAGACTCCGCGAGGCTGTTACGTGGCGCGGCTTCGCCAATTAGGGGTTGACACGTGGCGAAGACGAGGAGCAGCAGGAGAAGAGCAGGGACGGACCACCCATGGGAGGAGAGCCCCATGGTTCAACAAGGGTTCGCTCGCAACTCGGATTCAAGCAGGTTGCACGAAAGAGAGAGACTAGAGGCCAGCAGCCGATCGATTCTGGAGGCAGTAGCTGCTGAAAGTATAAGGACTAGAAATTGACACTAAGAGGCAGGAGCTCCGAAGGGTGTTTTCGAGAATTCTTAAAAAACACAGAGCAGTACAAGAGGTAGGAGTGGCTGAAAGTGAGAGGAGCACTGGAAATTGGAACTCAGAGGCAGGAGCTCCGCGCTCTTCCCGGCTTGAAATGGCTAGAGCGGATGGGCCTGGTACTACGTAAATGTCGAGCTCAAGCTGGCCTTGGGTAAATAAACACGAGGGAATGGCATGATGGTGGGAGCCCGGTTGGTTGGTGGTGGTGAGGTGAGTGTGGGCTGGCTTGCCATGTGTGTAGGAGGCTGGTGCGGTATTACTTGTGGACAATCCCTAGGGGGAAACACTTCAAGGTTCGGTAGGGCTTGCGTTGGGTCAAGTGCGTTTTGGTGGGTGCGTGGAATGGGAGATAGAGAGGGGAGGCGGTTGGGGGGAGAAGGTTGGGGATGGCGGGGCTAGCTCGAGGTGAGGCGAGGAAAGAGGAAGTGCGGAAGCGGGGGGAACCAATTGGGGAGCCAGCTCGCGCACTCAGAGATGGAGGAGGTGAGAACTTTATAGTAATTGGGGGGAATGGTGCGGGCGGGGAGGCCCAGTGCGCGCGAGAGTTTGCGTCACCGGAAGGTGCATTTCGGCTGGAGCGGATTAGTCCACCTGTGTCGGGGCGCGCATCGGGAACAGCTGGCGGACCCTGCGGCCTGAGGGGAAACCTGAGGGCTGGTTGGGTGGTTTCGGTTGGGGGTGCTCAGGTGGAAGTTACCACGTGCACTGTTATGATTTAGAAGATGTCAATGTACTATAATGAGAATACAACGTCCCTATTGCCATGAAAGCACAAGGTTATATAGGAGTGGACGTAATAGGGCGATAACCTCGGGACGTGGATAGGTTCGGCAAATGTGGCGATGCTGTCGGGCGCGACTCGAGAAAGGGTTGGGCCGAAAATGTAGGCCGAACGTGATGAGTCGAAGTGTTCGGGTGTACGCGGTAGCAGGCGACTCAGTAAGGAATGGAAATTCCTTACACTACCCCCCCTTCTTAAACAAGGCCGTGGGCATCGGGGACATTCCGACGCTGGTAATATGCCGTTAGAATCGGATGTGATTCTAGATCAGCGAGGGGCACCCAACTGTCCTCTTCGGACGTGCGATCGCGCCAGCGGATGAGGAAATCAACCATCCGACGGTTCAGCTGCGTGGTGATGCATGGCCAAGAATTTTCAAGGGCTCGGTCGTCGGTTCCTGCAAAGGCGTCAGTGTGGGTACACTACGGTTGCGTGCCAAGTCCGACGAACTCGGGACGTAGGGTCGGAGGAGACTGACGTGGAAAGCCGGGTGATGGCGCCAATCAGCCGGGAGCCGAAGGTGGACAGTGACAGGTGTCACGAGGTTGGTCACTTGGAAAGGTCCGCAGAATCTGGGTCGGAGTTTGCTTGGGATCGGCAGCCGCAAATTGCGAGTGTCGAGAAGGACAAGATCTCCCACTTTGTAATTGACGTCGCGTCGATGTCGATCGGCTTGTCGGCTGGCGACCAGGTTAGCTTTCCGAATGGCCTCAGCTGCTTTGTCGCGAGTGGCGAGAATCTCTTCAGCAAATTTCTGGGACCGGGGCATTGGTGACTCGATGTTCGGTGTAGAGGGTACGACCGGGTCCTGTCCGTAGTTGAGAAAAAATGGGGATTGATTGGTTGTGGCTGAGGTCGCGTTATTATACGCGAATTCGAGTAGCAGAAGGATTTTTCCCATGTCGATGGGTCAGTACAGGTGGTGCGAATTAGCTGCTCCATGGTTTGGTTAACGCGTTCGGTCTGCCCGTCGGTTTGTGGGTGGTAGGCGATGAAATTGGAGTTTGGTGCCGAATTGGTCCCACAGGTGGCGCCAGAAATTCGAGTGAATTTTGGGTCTCGGTCTGAAATGATGGCGGAGGGCAGTCCGTGCAGGCGGATGACGTTCGTGATGAACAGCTGCGCAGTTTGTTCGGCGGTGATTGTCTGTTGGCAGGCGATGAAGTGCGCCATTTTTGTGAGTCGGTCAACGACCACGAGGATGGCGTCGTTTCCGCTGGGGCCGGCCGGCAGTCCTGTCACGTAGTCCATCGTGACGTGTTGCCAGGGTCGCTCGGGGGATCCAACGGCTGTAGTAGTCCGGCTGCTCGCTGATGCGACGATTTCATGATCTGGCAGGCAGTGCAGGAGGACACGTACTTGCGCACGTCATCGGCCATGTTCGGCCAGTAGTAATTCGCTACAACATCTTCGTGGTTTTATCGACGCCGAAATGTCCTGAGGTAGGGTTGTCGTGGGATTCCTGGATTAGGAGGGTACGAAGTAAATCGTAGCCGGCACCCAAATGCGAGAAGTACCACGCTTATAAAAATATGGCCCGGTGGCTGTGGTATGCTGTTGATGGATGGCTGAGCGGAAAAAGGATCGATCTTGTAGCCGTGGGTGAATAGTCCGTAAGTAATGGGTTGGTCTGGGCGATAGTATCGCGGCGGTATGGACAGTAGGGCGGGTCAAGGCATCGGCGATATTATTGGCACCCCGTTTGTAGGTGATGGTGTAGTGGAAGTTGGACTCGAGGAAATCGAGCCATCGGATCTGTCGTGGGTTGAGGTTCGGTTGGGCGCGCAGGTACTGTAAGGATTTGTGGTCCGTCCGCACCGTGACGTCAGCTCCGGTCAGGTAGCACCGCCAGGTCTTGAACGCGTGGACGATCGCCAGCATTTCCTTGTCGTGGACTGTATAGTTTTTTCCGCGCCCTGCAGCTTCCGTGATTCGTAGGCGACTGGTTGTAACCCGTCGCCGAAGTCCTGGAGGAGAACTGCACCATGGCGATGTCGCTGGCGTCGGTGACGACTTCGTATGGACGGTTGGGATCGGAGATGCGAAGGACGGGCGGCGACGTGAGGGCGATTTTGAGTTGATCGAATGCAGCTTGCTGCTTCTCACCCCACCAAAAACAATCGTGATCCTTCAATCGGTCGGTTAGCGGTGCAGATAACCCTGCCATATTGGGGATAAAGCGGCGGACGTAGTTGACAAAACCCAGAAAACTTTGGAGTTCCTTGAGGTTGGTCGGCGGCTTCCATTCCTGTATGGTCTTGATTTTCCTGGGGTCGATTTTCACGCCTTCGGTAGAGACGACGTGGCCCAAAAACTCCAACTCCTGCTTAAGAAAATCGCACTTAGACCCTTTCGTGATGAGGCGATTCTTGTGCAGCAGCGTGAAGACTGCATCAAGATCCTTTAAGTGCTGCTCCCTGCTGCGGCTGTAGATGAGGATGTCGTCGAGGTAGATAATTACGCATTTAT